AGCTGACTTAAGAAAAGTCTTATAGAAGGTAAATGAAATATGCATGTTAAACGAAAAATTCTTATAAACTTTTATTTTCTACTAAATATAAACAGCCAAGACTTATGGAATGCATGTATGGAAATATATCAATTGAGCTTACTGGACGTCAAACTATAGAGAATGTTGCTTATTCTTTATATAGACTGCATATAAAACGTAAATTTGAAGAAATTTATTATTTAAATATATATTTAAAAAATATATAAACCAATAGTCATCGCTGCCAAAGTATCCTCAACTAGTCTACAGTATATTTGTGAGATTTGTTGCAGAAATCATTTCAAGGAATTCATAGACTTTCTGGTATTCTGCTTGGCTGCTGCTGCAGCTGAAATGTGCAAAAGTAAACAAAAGTGTTGCCAAAGACAAATACAAGCGAGGAGATACGTTGCCCAACTAAGTCCAAGTGTGTATATATTTCTCTCCCTCTTTCCCTCTCTCTCACTCTCTCTTTTGCTGTGTGTGTGTGAGGTAAGTGCTATCTGAGTGGTAGAACAAGTTCTTTATAGTGCTGGGCTGCCGGTTTGCTCAGCTTATTATAATTGCCAGCGTTTTGGCTCGTCTGCTGCCAGTTGTTTGGCTTTTTTTGTTGTGGGTGTTGCAGTTGCAGTTGCTGTGGCAGTTGCAAGATTTTCGGCTGCTCGCGCAACAAATGTAAGCAACGGCATTGATGCTGTTTGCCCAATTTGTGCTTGCAGTCTTTTCGACAGTTGCCAGTAACACCTATACATGCCAGTAGATTTATTCAATTGCTTTCAGGCATTGGCTTCCATGTAGTACATTCATATATCCTGACTCTTCATTTAAAGCATAATCAAATTGTTTTCCACTGTATTTGCAGCTACTGAACGTGTGTTTCGGGCGCATCCATAATTGCATTGCCTTGAGCTTGTTGCACGTTGTCCTTGTCATATTGTGATTGTTGCTGTTGTTGTTGTTGTTGCTGTGGCGCAGACAAATGCTAATTGCTTTAAATGCATTTTAGCCGGAAGTGGCTTTGCTTAAGCCTCTGGCAGGCAGACAGCCACAGAGCGATACGAAGAGCTACTGAATAACAGCTGCTGCTAATGGATGCTAACCGTATGTACTGACATTATCTGGGCTTGGGCTTCCATTTTATTTTGTTTTGTTTATTCATTTAAAGCCACTGACTTGCCTTGCCCTTAGCCTCTACTCTGTGAGCCGCAGCACAAAAGTCATTTCAATGTTTGCACCAAAAGTAACCACTCACACACTTACACACACACACACACAGCATTCTCTTGCTGTCTTTGTTTTATATTTAATTGAAATCAAAAAGTTTATGATTGTTTTTCGCATGCAATCTTTATATGCTAGTGAAATATGCATGCGTATTGTTTGACTATTTTGTCTGACCACGCCTCTGCCCCTGCCTCCTGTCTCTCTGTTTGCCTGTGTCTCTTTGTCCGTCGGCCTGTTTGTCATTGCCCAGCCCAGCTCTTTTCCATTGTGACATAGTATATCCTATATTGGCTGCTGCATAAATAAGTTATAGGCCCAAGCAATTATTTGCTTTGTGCTGGCATTTGTCAATATTTATCAATGAGTGCTCAAAACAGCGATAACACAATGGAACTTTGTTTAAATTTAATTACCTATATATATAACATATATATGAAGTACTGATACATTTGCAATGAAACTAAATATGCATCACATATTTTATTTAAATATTAAAGTGGAATATTTCCCATTAAAATATTTTTTATTTAATTTTTTATTTTATATACATACTTTTGAAATATTATGGATAGTAGTTGAGGCTAGTTTTGTAAAACTTTGCACCAAAAAAATATATCCAACACATATGCATATAAAGCTAGCAAAATTTATGCATATGATATATAAAATAATATATATTATAAAGCCTTCGTTTTAGTTTGCTCTTGCTTGGCAAATTTTGCATACACACAGTATTCATTCATTCATGCAGCATTATTAATAACTTAAAAAGAGTTTTTGTTGTTGTTTACCCTTGAAGCATCATCTCTGTCGTTGCAGTAGGGCAGGATATTCCTCCCTTTTATAATAAGTATATTAAGTTTATTCTCTTTCGCTCATATATATATATAAGCATGTAGCATGTAGCCGAGCATAAACACATGCTGCTGCCGAGCAGCATTTATTTGCTTAATAAAATTGATTGTGTTTTAAGACGCAGTAGAATGGAATGGAATGGAATGGAACCTGTGCAGAGTGTCTGTGTGGCATACACGCATACTCGTAAAAGATTGCTGCACTTTGAGAGTGCGGCTTAGGGGAAAGTTGATGCTCTTTGGGTTACTTATGCGCTGACATTTTTATGGCAATTTTATGTGGGTAACGAGCGAATGTGGCAAAGACAAAGCTAAGCTGTATTTTTATACTTTTCGAAATCGATAAAAATGCAAATTAAACAGCGCAAATGTGTGGAGTGGGCAGAGCGCGGGCGAAAATGAAAACGGGGAAAAAATACAGATAAATAAAATAAAAGGAAACTTGCATATGTGACTTGAAGACTCGTTAAAAGCAAAGCCAAGCCAAGAAAACTCAAATTCCGGAAAATCGCTTTTGTTTTGAGCGCATGCACAGAGACAAATAAATATGAAAATATACACATATACAGAAATGCCAAGCGGAAGCAGCTTTTCGAGTCACTTGCATGATGGAGGCCATGCCCTGGAGAGATAGGAGATAGGCGACAGGAGACAGGCGGAGTTAAAGCGGAGGCAGTCGAGCGACAAATGAAAATTGCAAAAATGATCGGAAATGACCAATTTGTAATAAAAATGTAGCCAAACGTGGGCGTGGCTGCATGATAAATGCAGTCCAAGACGAGCAGCCACTAGCCTGGATGTTAGTCCGTGTGTGTTTGGCAACGGAAGCAAGTCGAGCGCTTGACATGCACAGATACGCATGTCGAAAGAAGGAAGCGCATGGAGTCAAAGGCTGAGTGCCGGCACTCGGATCGTTGGCCTCGGAGTATGCAGCTGAACGATTTTCCTGCTTGAGTTTGTCATGTGCATGCATCGCATTTAGAAATATGTCCAGATCATAATCTCATCAGGGCTGACCGAAAACTTATTGCCAGACAAATTAGAAATTTGTCAGCCCGACTGCTGCTCACATATCATACCATCTGTGCCGTCTGTGCCTGCTAGGTATTTCTTTTGCCTTTGTACTCTTTGCCGGCTGCTTGGGGTGCATTGAACTCCATGTGGCACAGCTCATAACTCAAAGTTGTCATCTTAAGTCCGCATCTGAAAACAATAACACGCAACGAGCACACAAAACACTTTTGCATTTCCCAATAAATCAAGAGCATCCTCCTTCCATTCAGCCGTGCCCCTTGGACAGGACAGCAATCTGCAGGGCGAACCCTTTTCAAGGAGCTGCTCTTTGTCAACACGCTACGATGTAATTCATCACGCACATACTTATTGTGAAAAGAAAAACAATTCAGTTGAATGCAAAGATTTTTGCAATTATTGTGCGTGTGCAAATTAGAAACTGTTTTTGTTGCCAACAAATTTCCGATAAAAAGCAAAATCCCATATATGGCCTAAGCAAATGCAAAAGAAGTGCTTCAATTAATTAAAATTTAAAATAAAAAAGCCTGTTGCAAAACCAAAATTAATATAGACTTTTTCTGGCATAAATTAAATATTACAAAAAGATATTATTTTCTTTGAACAAGTCAAATTAATTTATGCTTTATGAATAAAAGCCAATTTATTTTCCAAATTTTTTCCAATTTGATTTTGATTTCTGAGCATAACTGTAAAAACTGTTAATTACTTTAAAGCAGAAAATATATATATATATATTTTTTTGTCAATGATTGAAATGCATTATATACATATATTCACTATTAAATAAGTAAAAATGATTTATTAAATGCAGAAAGGTTTCTAGTCGGTATATCGTTTATGACAATTTCTTAATCCTTAGCATAAGAAGCTTAAATGATTCATGCATAAATGTAATTTCCTTAATATTCATTTTTACTGACATCTATCATATGCTTTATTTATTATATATAATNAAATAAAATAAATTAAAATGAATAAATTACAAATAGAATTGCATTTAGCAAGGTAATTCAAGAGCAGCGTCGGCATGATCAATAATACAAATATACATATATTTATCATATAGATATACATAAATGTAAATAGCTATATGTAAACGTAAGTAGCTATACGACGAGAGCTATATTGAAATATCTATTTTGAATAAATATAAATACATATGTCAGTTTTTAAGCCTGTAGGGCCAGAACTAAATCGACTTGACTATTCATTCTGATTACTAATATATTGTACATAAATTTATTTCATATCCCAACACAAACATTTGCCTCTCACATATCTTCTAACAAACTCATCATACCCTTTTAACTTATATATTCAAAATACCATTTTACATATATGTATATGTATGTATGTTACATGTGTATACATCAAAACTCCTGTGCGGCTCATACCAAATGCCTGACCAAATGCTGCAACGCTTTGCCCAGGCAATAAAACCCAAAAAAGGCCAAACAATTCAGCCCAGCTTATACATGTGTGTGTGAGGGTGCATTAGAGTGTGACCTTGTGTGTGTGTGTGCACGCCTGAAGTGTAAGTTGCCAGCGAGCCGGCAGAAAGCAGAGCCACAACGTTGTCGGCCGGAAGCGGAAACTCGCGCACACACACATCCACGAGGGGAGCGTACACAAAAACACACACACACACTGTGGGCGTACAGCAGCAAAAAACAAAATAAAACCCTGCAAAGACTCGTGAATTTTTCAAGCAGACTCAAGTTTCGCAAACAACAGGGGGAGAAAAATGCAAAAAGTTAAAGCTGGTGTCAGGCTTAATTGCAAACAATTTCAAGAGCCTAAAGTATATAATATAATTTTTTTTTTTTTTTTTTTTGACTTAATTTAAGCATACGTTTCACAGGTTGTTGCCAGGTCCTAAGCAACTATCCGCTAAAATTGTCGTGACTTTCATTTCTTATGCTGCATGAGAAAAAACTTTGTAATTTTCCATTTCGTTTTTATTGCTATCTCTCGGCTATTTTCTTTCGCTCTCTCTCTCTCTCTCTCTCACTTTCTCTCTTTCTCGCTCTCTGCCTCTTAGTGTCTTTCTATCTGCAACTATATATCTTATGGCTCGCTTGCAGGTATGAGCTATTCAATTACGCTTAGCGAAGCAATGAGTGCAATTAAGTGAAATTATGTATGGTGCGAGTTAAGTGCAAATGACTTGGAGATATTCCCAAGCAGAAGGTGAGAAAATTTATGGCGAATGAAAATGCGGAAGAGGAGGCGCTTGAGGTGTAGATAAAAAGAGGTGTTAATTGGAGGCACTAGCTAGAGGAGAAAGTTAAAGGAGAGCGCTGGAGAAGAAGCAACTAGTTGCAATGTGAAGCTCAGCTCCATTAAAATATAAGAAGACTTTGTTTTCTTTGGTAAGATTAATTTAAAGAGTATAATGTATGTGAATATAATTAAAATAAAATATAAGAACTACTTAAAAATTCATAGAGAGTAAGAGATAACCGTAATAATAGCTCAAGCAGAGTTTGGGTTGAAGTAGACTTAAAGAGCATATGCTATATATTTCATATTGGCTGAAAAATATTTAAAAATAAGTCATAGTTAAAGCAGATAATATTAGTTAATATATCAGTTGTATGTTGAGTTTGGTTTAAATATTACAAGTTTAAAAAAATATACCAAATAGCTTTATAAACAGAAATTTTAACTATGACTGCTAGCTCCACTACACTTCCAATATATATAAATTAATAAAGTCAGAGAAAATAGTTTCCCATTGATATATTGCAATATATTTCTTTGACACACTTTGCTCTACAATTCAAGCAAACTTTCATTAATGAAAAGGAACAGACATAAGTAAACACCTTAGCACACATACACACACACATGCAGTCACTCAACAGACACAGGAGAAATGTCCATCAAGTAATTAATCAACATTTCTATGTAGCACACCATCTGTAATATACCAAAAGAAAATATTATATTAGTGGAGGCGTACGAGCATTTATTATATGGCCGAACAAAGTCAATGCAAATAACCATTCGAAATAAAGCAATAGCAACAAGTGTAAATTGTAGATAAATATTATGGCAGCTCACAATTTATAGAAAAAACAAGGTAACAAACAATAAACAGCAGTTAAATCACAAAATTGCTGAACAAAAATAAAGAAACAAAAATGTTAACTTAATAAAGAATTTCTAACCTGCATACAAATATACAAAAAAAGGAAATTAATAAATAAATAAAAAAAAATAATTACTTTTCATTGTATATAAGCATTAAAGTCTCCTACTCTACGCTTAGCCATTTAAAATACTTTTGGCAGCATTTGCTTCCCTTTGGCTTGTACTTTTAACTACTTTCCTTTTCCCGTCTGAAAACATTTTGGGAAAAATGCACAAAAGTGAAATTTTGGCTTTCCGCTTTGGTTCGCTCAGCAGTTTCTGTTGGCTTCTTTTGCTGACCCTGCTAGGGCCATAACAATTTGTGTTTGTTTGCCGTTGCTGTTGTTGTTGTTGTTGATGTTGTTGCTGCTGCTGTTTGCCTGCAAAAAAAGTGTCAACAACTGCGCGTCGCAATTAGCAATACGCTCGGAAATATGATTACAAATTTCTCCTCTGTCCCTTATCATATGAGAATCATGCACTGGCCAACCGAGTGGACTGCCAATTTAGCACACATACAAGCGCACGCCCACAAACACACACACACACACACTTACACCTTTACATATACGTTTACACATACACTCGCACGCAAATGCGCTAAGCTGCATATTGCTCATACGCCCCATATTCAAGTGCTGCAACAGCTTTTGCCCAGCTGCGAGAGTCCGGTACGATTTTACTTGTTTTTTTTTTGCTCGCTTTCGTTTCCGTTTTAGTTTTATTAAGTTTTTAATTAATGTATGAGCAGTTAAAAGTTGTAAAAGTGCTGTCATGATAAACTAAAACAATATTTCTCACTTGGGAACCAAACGTTCCACCCGTGCGTGGAGCGTGGGCGAAAAGCTGTTTAAATAAATGAACTTATGGCCTGCATGTGTGCCAGTGTGTGGGCTCATGGTCATGTGTGTGTGTGTGTGTAAGTGATTGGTTGTGTCATTAAAATATTTGTGCTTCATTATTCACTTTAGTAAAATGCGTTTAGCTGACACGCAATAGAAAAACTTTTTAAGTTTGGTATGAAGGCGTAGTTAACTCAAACTATGTCAATATAAAAGTGAATACATTTTTGCATAAATTTATATTCTATTTATTTGAAAGTATAAGCAGCTTAATGGAAGTTTTCCTGAAAAACTTAAAGGCTTAAATGCAACGTGTGTTTAATATATTTATATTTAATATTTAGTCTACCTGCCAGGTGAATTTACTTACTATAATACATTACTTATAAACATATATACAGCTTAATGGAACTTTTCCTGAAATAAATAAATGAAAGATAAACCTTCTTGAGCTCTGTCTAATTTGATTTCTTGTAAAGCGAACTTCTCCTTGTTTGACTATGCAAAGGGCACTTGTGAAAGGTTCGCTTCGACTTTAGCATTAAATTATATCAGTCCGTATTACTATTTATACACAGCAACTGGTTGAGGCCTTTGTGTTTTTGTACCTTTCATTTTGGACAAGCAAGTGAAGCACTCCAGCTCTATCTTATCGGCTAAATTGAATTTGTGGCTGGCACCCAATAAGTGTGCTAAGTCATTTGGCAAACTGAAGACAGCAACTGCTACGCACACAGATGCACACACACTCACACACACACRCGCACATTTTTCGGTGTGTCTGTGTGTGGCTCTAATCCTTTATGCATTTTGTGCCCCAGACAGAGACTGACCCCATTCACCAAATTTAGAATGCCATCTATCAGCACGCACACAAACATGAATAGAGAGACAGAGAGAGAGAGAGAGTGTGTGAGAGAGAGAGAGAAAGCGAGATGGCACAGAGGACATGCTGGCGACATGGTCAAAACTTTGCACAATTAAAATTTAAGTGTTGCACAAACTTGTGCCATGCGCTTGAGCACTGCAACATTGGCGATGATGAGCGAGCTCATCATGGCAATGATAATGATCACGAAGTCGCTGATAAAGCCGATGACAGGGACAATGCATGAAATGCATTTGCCTTTTATAGCCATTCACCTTTGCCCCAAAAAATAGCAGCTTTTGTGCAAAAGTTCACCAGTCCACAATAATAAAGTGCAATTAAAAAGTTTGCCAACACGAATGCAAAAATAATCAAATCGATTATGAGCGGGCGCTGGGCTTAAGCTAAAGATTGGCCCGGCATGTCAACAGACAATCGCATTAAAATGGATAGTATAAAATCTTGGATGGCTCTTTAGTTTTGTGCTCGCATTTGCCTTGAGGCTGCTTGCCAATTGCATTTCATTCCCTCTCGCTTTCTCTCTCTGCCACAGCCTCATCAACTGTTTCAGGTCTATCCCTCGCTCTCTCTCTCCCTTTTTCTTAATCCATTGTCTTTGCATCAGTTTTCTGCTGCTGTCAAATGCAGGCTGCTTTTTGTGCATTCATTGAGAAAGTAGCTACAAAACGATTTCTGGAACGATAAAAACTGTCAATAAAAGCATTTTTATGCATTATTTCTTCGTATATTTTTCTTCTCAGTTTGCTGGCAGCACAACTAAAAAATTGCTGCAAGAGTTGGACGCGAACCTGAATTATAGCAGCTAGAAGTTACCCTCTTGTTAGATTAATCCTGTGAACTTATAATCTTGTGGTAATATTTGGAATTTTAATATACCAAATATACCTGAAGGACACTTAAACCAATCAACTGCATTGTAGCTAACAATCTTTCAACTCTAATATCATACCTTGACTCATTCACACATTCATATAGGGTATACAAATAACGAGCAGATGTCAAATTTGTCAATGTAAATGCGATTGCGAGAACAATTTTTTTGCAAGTTTATTCACGTAGCCAGAGACCGGAGCTAAACTCATTGAATATTTAAGCGATCCTCGGGTCAGCTCAAGTGCTTTTCGATGACAATTGAGCAGTAATTTGTTAAATGAAGTAATTAATGCAAACGATGCTCGCTTAATGCGGGTCAATAAAAATCGGAATTGGAGCTGCAATTGCATGGCGAGCAGCATTGCCTGAAGATATCCATTAAAACGGAAGCTTGATAAATATATATAATAGTAATAATAAACTGGCATATTTATATAAAGTATGATTAATATTAATAACAGGCTGCCAGCGCGCACACATGTCACTATTAATTAAGTATAACAATTCGGTCCCTTATTGAATTCAGGTTAATCATACATTTAAATTTACATAAACTGTTATTAATTAAAAAGATTAAACCAGCAAAAGTGTACCAGCAAATGTATATAAAGCCATTAATAATATTAATAAGCTGTCCGACTGATGGAATATATATGCATATAAATATGTGAAAGTTGCTATATGAAACATTGGCAAATTATATAATGATATATATATATA